AGGAAACCATTGCACAGTGCATCGTAATCAGTCTGAGCAAAGCCAGTGATTAAGAGAAAAATCTTTAAATGTGCCGGAAAAAGGCACGCTACCTGTGGCGGACCAGAGGTGAGACTGGAGGGGGCTTCTCGTTCGGGACAAGGTGAGTAAGGGGTGAGGACAGCATCTCTCCAGGACTGTCGACCGAGAATTCTCTGCCAGCTGAAATAGCCTTCACAACCGAAGATGCAGTCAAGACTCTTCAGACAATCAAAAGCTGAGAGAATGCATCCCAGAAAACTTACATGACCAAAAATATTAAGGGAAATTCTTCAGGAGAGGAAAAATGATAGCAGGTGGTTTGACTCCACAGAGGAGTGAAGCGTTCCATGGTAAGAATGAGACATTTTCTTGTTATCTAAATCCCTTTAAAAGATAATCAAGTGTTTAAGTGAAAAATGGTAATGTATTGTAGGGCTTATAACAGGCAGGCCTTAAATGTGTGACAGGACAGCTCAGGCCAAGCACAGAAGCAGAAGCAGACTGCGGAGAGGTCCGGTACTTTATGTGAAGTGCCAGAGACCACTGGACATTGCACTGTAGTAAGTCCAACCCGAAAGCAGCAACTGTGATGATGAAACAGAGTTATAACTAATAAGTGGACAGAGGAAGTAAAGTGGCATCATAACATGATGCAGTTAGTGCAAACGGTGACAGAGAAAAACCTGTAGAAATGGGGGACAAAGAACAGATGGTAAATACAGAGAATAGAACGATAGATTGGAACTCAGCCGTCTTGGCAACCACTGTGAATGGTTGAAACAGCCACCTAAAAAGCAGAGATAGTCAAATAAGATAAAAGGAAAGCAGGTCCAACTGTAGGCTGCCTACAGGAAACTCACTTTTTAACTACACAGACACAAATAAGTTAAAAATAAAAGGTGGAGGAAGATACACCATGCTGACACACTAACCAAAAGAAAGCTGGGGTCGCTATATTAACAACAGACAAAGTGAGTTTCAGAGCCAAGAGTATTGCCGGAGATGAAGACTGATGTTTCATGCTGATAAAGGAGTTGAGCATCGACAGATCACAGCAGTGCCAAATGCTACTATGCTAAATAGCAGCTTAAAAATACACAAAAGCAAAAGCCGATGGAGCTGCAGGAGAAGTGGCCACAATGGCAGTCCACGACTTCAGCGTCCTGCGCAGTGCTCCACAGAGTAAATGGGCAGAGCACCGCAGGGCTGTGGGGGCTCGGGCAGCACAGCCCCCCACCTTGCTCTCGCGGACGCTTGTAGAACATGCCACCCTCACACGAGCATCACATTTACCAAGATGGAACCCATTCTGCTCCATCAGCAGGGCTCCATACATTTAAACTGTCTCAAGCATCACAAATATGTGCTCTAACCACACATGTTCATGTCTAGTGTTAAATTAAACATTAACAAAAGAAAGATATCTCAAAAATCTCCAAATACCTGAAACCTCAATAACACACTTTGAAATAGCCCATGAATCAAAGAAGAAATAAAAAGGGAAATCTGAACGCATTTTGAAATGAGTGAAAAAAGCACAAATATCAAATTGGATGCAGCCAAAACCATACGTAGAAATTTATAGAACCAAACACCTGTACTAGGCAAGAAGTAAGGTTTGAAATTGATGCCATCAGCTTCTTCCTGAAGAAACTAGAAAAAGACGAAACCTTAAACCCTGCGTGTACCCGTCGGGATCTGCTAATGGATGGGATGGGGCAGAGGAGGGAGGGATACGCCTGAGCACTTGGGTGGCAGGAGTGCTGAGGCAGATGAGGGACAGCTGGGGAGACGTGCAGGTCAGGAGTTCCACACGAGCTGAGGCGCATCTGTGGATTTGGTCAGCATAAAGCAGCATTTAAAACACAGACGGGTGCCCCTCCCAGGCCCTGTAGAGGGACCAAGCCTGTTTCTCTCCCCCCATTAAATGAATTGAAAATATAATAAATCCCCAGCACTAAAGAGAACAGAAGGAGGTGAGAGAGATCTGCACGTTTCTAAAACACCCTTCTGACTTTTTGTGGGTGATTGCGCCCACAGGAGTCTGGCAGCTGCTTCCCGCTGAGTCCCCCGTGCATCCCAGGCAGCCGCAGCCCCTGAGGTGGGAGCAAGGCCCGGGCACTCTTGGGGTTGCCAGTGATGAGTGGGTGTCACAGGGCCTGGCAGGACTGCCAGAGGATGATCCCATGCCCGCTGAGAGGCCCACGATCCCAGGGGAACCACCTGCCCAGTGCCACTCGCAAGCCGCTGAGTTCTTCAGGGTCAAGGGTGCTGAGTCGCAGGTGACTTTAACCCCTACCCAGGATTGCTTGTTCCCACCGTCCTGCAGAGGGCACTGTGACGCTCACACGGGGGTGAGGGGG